AAAAGAAAAAGAAAAAAAAAGGGAAAAAGATATTGGCAAGGAGTAATGTTTTTTGATTAATTTGACAAATGGTTAAAAAATATGAAAGTTCGGATACACCTCGATTTAATTTTATAATTGTTTGATAGTTTTTATTTGTGCTCCAATTTAAATCTAAGATCTCATGATTCTGAAATTACATTCTTAATGCAATTTTAATGATTAACCTTAACTTTTATACGATTTTTAATTATTATATTTATATTTTTGATGTTGAAAAATAATTTAAAAGGAATAAACATTATAAGAAATACTTAGAAAGGAAATAAAATATAGTGCTAGAGTTATCCAAAACTAAATTGAAATCGACAACTCGAATAGACAAAAAGTTATTGATTTATCGATAATGAGTTATTAATTTAACGATTTTAGTAATGATTTTAATTCTTTTTATTATCGGCATAATGATACTTAACATTGATTTTCTTATAGGTTAATTTGATAATCGAATATCGATATATAAAGTTCTTCACTTAGATTTTCATACTTTTATTTCTGATGGTTTCAAACTCTTAGTTATTTTAGCATAGGATGGTGTTTGTTTTTGCCTAAGTGCAATTTGTCAACTCATATACACTATTCTTTTGATTTATCACATTATTTGTAAGTGTTTTTTAATAATTTTTTATCAAATCTTAACGATTAAACTGATAAAAATCAATAATTAATAAGTTTATATGTTATTGATTCTACAATTATTATTTAATATATTTACAAATCAATAACAACTAAATCGAATCGACCAATACGGAATAGACATAGCATTGGAATTTAGCAGTTCCTGCTCATCGATATATTTGGACTTCGAACGTGGGATGTTTTTATGAGTATCATAAAAGGTGGAAAAATATGAATGCATTATGTACGGTTCTTTTAATTTTATTTTTTCTGAAAATATCAAGACTCTTTTTTGGTAACATTTAAAAAGGAATATAAAAAGTATATTTCTTAAATATCATATTTGTCATGATTATCAAAAATATCTAAGTATATTGAAAAGTTGAAATATTATAATTCTAAAATTTATTTGCCACAAAAAGAATATATCGATGTAGTTTTTGAAAGTGTAAGTTTGAAAAAAAAACAAAAACAAAATATATGTGTACCTTATTATAGGGTGAAAAAAATGTTTTTTTGTATATAGCTCGCAAGGATTCAAAGTTGTATGAAAATTTGACAGCAATAGTAAGATACAAAGTAAATGAAACATCAGATTATACTATAAGTTGAAAAATAAAAAATTATGTTAATACTTAAAGTTAAATATCAAATTTAATATTTGATGTACTCATATATCAAAGTTCTAACTAAAGCTAAAACAAATAACAATTTTATTCGTGGATAATTGGATATTTTCTTTATTTTTAAATTGGCCTTGTCATTTTCAAATTTTTTTTGGCTAATTAGGTATATATAATTGATGTTCTTATTCAATTTATGTGGTTTTTATTTTCTTATTAGTCTCTTAAAAAAGAATTACAATTTTTTAAAATTCAGTTGACTTAAATTCTTATTTTACCTTTGATGTCAACTTTATAATATCACAGAAATATGATTCCAGGTCTAAAATCACAAATTTTAAAAATTCTATCGTCACACAAATATTTCTTGAACGATGTCTGCAATTAAATAGAATCAGCGAAGAAATACATAATTTCAATAATTAGGTGAGTGAACAGTGTATTATATGAAGACAAAATTAATATATTTAATGTAATCTCATGAATAAAATCTAAAATGCACAAATTTTATCACTGTATTAAAAAAAAAAAGATAAGTTTTTTCTAATAGACTCCTAAAGTAAAAATATACCAAAAGCAATGTATGACATAAGAAGATTATGAGATAAAGAAAATAATATGAATAACATCATACAACCATAAGATTGAATAACTAATTGTGTAATACTTAAGATGACATTAAAATGAAAAAAGAAAAAAAACTTGTTATAGATTATTAATAACAAAATTAAAATTCCTATACTATAATTTCAAGATAATTTTATCTTATCAATAAAACAATTATTTAACAATCTCCGATATAATTAACGTCTAATATAAACGAACATATAATCACATGCCCATCAAATGAATTTCAAAACTTGATGCTAATTATGTTCATTATTAAAATGCCAACTTGATTAATGTTCATGTTCATAAATTAGTTATCAAAATCAATTATCTTATATTTATACTTATTTAAGAAAAGTCACATGGCTTTAGCCTATATCTGCTGGTTCCATGCTACAACTAACCTTTCATTTGTTGGATCCTTCTTTAAATAAGATATAATAAATAAATAAATAAAATATTTTGGAAGAAAAATATACAATACAATTTTTAAAAATTATATTATTATTTTACAATACAATTAAGGATACAACAACTCAGAAAAAAAGAAGAAGCTATAACTAATCAATGTTTGTCAGCATTTTTAGATTTGAAAATGAATTGAAGTGGTGGAATAATTTTATAATATTTTTCCTAATGAATACCTACTCTACTTACATTATATAGCAATAAACTGAGATATACCTATTTGTTTTTAACAAAAGTAAACAGAAAAAGTTAAACTAAATACATCAACCACTTCACTTTCTATATAATTATTATTATTATTATTATTATTTGTGCAACAGGTAACATTATCATATATATATATATATAATTTCTGGATAGTACGATTCACTAACACGTTGTTTGGATCATTATTATTTATTATTTCATAACGTTTTATATTATACTCTATTGTACTGTATTGTATGGTATATACAATGTTTGGTTAGACTGTATTGTTTGTTGTTGTTTAATAACATTTTAGTTGTTTAATTTGATTGCATCGTACTGTATTGTAATTTATAAATTTACTAAAACATCCTTAATTATTCTAGGGTAGGAGGTTTAACTAGTTTATATAATTAAAATAATGGGTGAAATAGTATTTTGAAATATTATGTAAAATGTAATTGAAAAAAGAAATTAAGGCCTCATTTGTTTCCATTAAAATTAAGAGATCTACATCTGAATACATATCTGAATATTAAGATTTGTATTAAGATTCAGGCGTTTTGATGTGAATACACATTTGAATATTAAGATATGGTCTCTAAATCTGAACACTTAATAATTAATGCTCTTTGTTTTCAATATCTGAATGTGCATGTGAAATTAACATTAAATTAATAAAATTTCATTAAAATTTCGTTTCAACAAAATATATCACTTTGATAAAAAAAAAAAGTTTTAAAAGTTTTAATAGTCATGATTTGGAGTACAATTTTTTCATTCAAAAATCTTGATAAACACCAATACACTAACAGTGTTCTTGACACAGTCAATACAAAAAAATTATTAATATAAAAAAAACTTGAAAGGATTTATGAAAACTTACCAATTTAAAAGGGAAAAAATGGTCTTTGATTGAGAAAAGAGAGAAACTTTTTAGATATGAGATAAAAAAAAATCATGCTTAAAGCAGAGAAACGATGTTAATATTTGATAACTTATTAAATGAGTCTGAATGTTGTTAAGAGTTCCTACAGATCTAATTCATTCAGACCTCCTCAGATCCATTAAGAAGTTTTATAAAAAATAAAACAAATGAACTTAATGAACTGAATCTGAATCCAAACCTAAAAAACGTAGTTAATAGGCTGAATTTGAATGATTAAGATTCATACCTCCATTGAGTGCAAACAAATGAGGCCTAAGTAAAAATGGAAACACACCAAATTAGATGTTCCATACAATAGGGATTTTTATTGTTACGTAACAACGAAATTTAACAATACAATACAATAAAATACATTTTAAGTAACAATCAAAACAAACATTGTAGGTATTTATAAGACGTAGCAATAGTTACTTAAAAAATTCACGACACAATGTATCGATTCACATACAAAGCAAAACAAATAAAACTCAAACTCTCATTATGTCTCGTAATTTTTTAGACTCAGCGCTATTTTGGATAAATACATGACATATATTTGCTATGTCAGGTAATTTTTTCAAGGTGGGCTTTAGTCCATCACAATTCACCTATCAATGGTGACTGTTGGACTCAGTTTGCTGTTGAGGCCTCTAATTTAGCAGCCCCCATAGGATCATGATCAACACTCGAAAGGCCACTTCAACAATAACAAACCCAGTGTAGAGTATACACAAACTTTATCCATACCAACACTCGAAAGGCCACTCCAACAACAACAAACCCAGTGTAGAGTATACACAGACTTATCCGTACCTCGTGGATATAGAGAGGTTGTTTCCAAAAGGCTACTCAAGCACTCAAACAAATTTAGTCATTCAAACAAGCCAACTCAAGTATCTTATCTCAAAATGCCAATTCAATTAGTCAAGTAATTCAACTACAATTTTCAAGTTAATTACCAAAGCAGCAAAAGCCAAGAACAAGTCACAAGCAAATAGCTCTGCTGATCCATGTGTAGCAGCACACTGCAAAGCCAAAAATCGATTTTCGACTTAAAGCTGGTAGGTTTACACAGAAACAATGCCCCTTAGCTTGCAAGAATTGCCACATGCACACATTGACCTATTTTTTGTTTTGTTTCATACAGTTCCACTATAATACATTTAAGTTGTCGTGGCCTGCGCCTGATCTCCCTTGGTTCCTCAATTTAATGGCTTGCATGGGAAGCAAATCAACAAATAGAACCACTATATGTCAAAGCATGTGTGTCAAACTCTTGACATTAGGTTTTCATCAATATTATGCAAATGCAAAAATTGATTCAGCCTTTGTAAGTAAAAGAATAAGAAGATATCGTAATTTGAAGAGATAGACACACAGTTAGCTATCAGCAGCAAGGAAAACGCCAATACTATACTGAGCTTAAAGTTCGTTAAATAATTCATTTTGAGCTATTATGGTTTCACCTATGGAAAATAGTCAGAGAGCCCCCCTGGATCAAAACAAATATCTACAAGGACAACATCTCCTTTAAAAAGAGCTTAAGAAGAGCAACAACATCAAGTACCATTATGTTTAAAGTTCAACACACCTGGTAATACAACAAAAATAATTGCTTGTGCATAAGATTATGTTTCTTGAAACTGGTGCTGAAAAGGAAAAAAACTAACAAGATCCCCAAGAAAAATGAAGCAGAATCTAACAGCACTTACAAAAAATACATCGAGTGCAACTTTTACAGGTTATTAGTCACACAATTTCTCATCTGAATTATTTCAGCCTCCGTTGTTGTGGCATTCGTTATCCCTGCTGTGAAAAGGGACAAATTAGGCTCTCAACATAGATTTCTGCCTCAAGACATAGACCAAAGTTGGTAACATCTAGATAGCTGATCATGTTATCCTTTGTATTGTATTTCATCAAGCGACCTCCAAACAGACACAAAAGTTCACCTTCATTTGACGTTAAAATGGTTGGATGAAATGGATGTTCCATAGGATAACCTGGAGACTTGGTGGTAAATATCTCAGTCCAAGATTCTTTTACCCCATATTCCTTCATAACCCAGACATCTGTATGACCCGATGCATAAATATAAGCAGAAAAGATCACCCCCTAACACTCCTAGCTTCAAAAATCCATATTTTTTAAAACAGGATGGTCGCTCTAGCTCTGCCCATTTCTCATCAGCCAAATCAACAGAAATGATGTTCCATTGCTTGTCAAGCCAATGAAGTTTCCCATTGACAAACTTAGCAGTACCAGCCAAGAGCTCTTGACCTCGAAAATCATCAATCATCTCCAAGAATCCCTCTTTAAACTAAATATTTTGACCTCAACACGACTCAAGTTTCTCCTTGTATAAATAGGAAAAATACCCACTACCCTGTAATCATCTTGAAACTCATCATATGCAAAACCAAATTTGAAATTAAAATGTCCATTCAAATAGTAATGGTGGCTTACATCAAGTTTAAAATTAGGCAATTTCTTATACTTTCTAATTGATGGATCCAATAGAAATAAGTCGTACAATCCGTCAAATAGACAGATGGAAAAACAAATGAATCCATTGACAACACCCACAAACCAAAGATACTGATTGGGACTTTTACCGGGATAATCCAAGTCAAATGCCTCTGTTACGGGATGGTAAAGCAAAGACCTAACAGAACAATACTTGACAACTAAGACAGATTTAGAAGAAACCTTAACCATAACTCCATGGTGGGACTAGTTCTTGTTACTAGCGGATAAAGAGAGATGAGCCTTCACAAATTCAGGGCTAGAGATTAAGGAAAGCCAAGATTTCAAAACAGATCTAAATTGCAAAAGGGATTTCACCGGAAGCTTTAACAAGATTTCTAGGATGAGTTCTGCAGTAAGATTAGGCATTGGCAAGAGTGAATCCTGGTTTAAAATGGATAAAAGAAGGGCAGGATTTGTGGGTTTGCTCTGTTTAGGGTGCCGAGGGATGACTTCATCGCCTCTGGATTCCATTTGAGTTGCAGCAATTATAACTCTTGTAGTTGGAGACTAGGTTTAATGTTTTTCCCTTCTTATAGTGAAAGCTCCAAGTTCGGGGAAATAGCAATTTTACCACTCATGCTATTGCAGAATTGTGTTTATGATCCCTCTATAATATATCTATATCTATATCATATAATCATATATACTATACATACTATATTATTCTATAAGTGGGAAGCCTCAAAGGTAAAAGTTGAAAGACGAAATAATCATCAAAAGCTGAACGACAGTTTTTCCCTTCAAGCAAGCATTATTCATCAACTCTTTCGGTGCAAAAAGTTAAATACAAATTGTAAAAAGATAAAACAATTTAGAATTAAGACATCTATTTAAATTGCTAATAAATTATTTCATTTACGAGAAGATGCGATCCGCTTATATAAGTGAACTTTAAATTAATATTAGCTACAAACATTATCATTACAAATTTTATTTCATCAAGTTTTACCTTATCTTGCAATCTTCATCTATCTATATCATATTAAAAGCACGAAGGTACTTAGAAATGTTTATTGAACTTTTTTGCCCTTCGGAGTCGTTTGGTGTGAGGTATTAGGTATAATAATCCTATAATAAAATGTAGGATTATTTACTCCCACGTTTGGTTGGAGGTACTAGGCAGTCCTTGGATTATTTATCCCTCACCATTTTTGCCATAGTGATGGGATTACTTATCCCATATAAATGGTGGAATAACTCATCCCGGGATAATTAATCACTGGATAGCTTGTTCCTAGTCAAATGACCCTTACAATCTTTCGGGAACAATCTCTCTATCTCTGTGACGTCCAGTAACATTGAGTTTAAAGTTCAATACATCAGTAATGCAATCAAAATAACTGTTTTTGAAAAGATAATCATTTCTTAAAAATAGTGCAAGAAAGGAAAATGACTAACAAGATCCCCAAGCAATATGAAGTAGAATTTAATAACACTTGAGAAAATTGCATAGAGTGTAACTCTTACAGGTATCAGTCACACAATTGTCTTCATCAGAATTATTTCAGCCTGCTTTGTTGGTGAAATCGCGATCTCATCAGTAAAAAGGGCAAACTAGGCTCTTAACATATATTTGTACCTCAAGACATGGAGCTAACTTAGTAACATCTAGATATCTGATTGAGTCATCCTTTGGATTGTATTTCACGAAACGTGATCCAAACTTAAGCAAAATTTCACCTTCATTTGACATTAAAATAATTGGATAAAATATACGTCCCCCAGAATCTTCGGGTGACTTGACGGTGAACATCTTTGTCCAAGATTCTTTTACTCCATATTCCTTCATAACCCATACATCAACATGAGTCCACGCGTAATTACAAAACACAGAAAGATCACTCTCAAACACTCCTAGCTTCAAAAATCCACATCCTTTAAAACAGCAGGGCTGATCAACCTCTTCCCATTTCTCACCCGCCAAATCCATAGAAATAATGTTCCAGTGCTTATCAAGCCAATGAAATTTCCCATTAACAAACTTAGCAGAATCACCCAAGAGCTCTGCACCTTTATAATTCTTAACACGTTTCCAAGAATCACTCTTTAAACTATATATTTTGACCTCAACACGACAAAGACTTGCATAATTATAAATAGGGAAAATACCCACTATCTTGTAATCATCTTCGAATTCATCATATGCAAAACCAAAAGTGAAATAAGGAACAATATGCTCTTCGTAAGGCAATTTCTTATACTTTTTAATTGATGGATTCCATATAATAAAGCAATCAAATCCGTAAAATAGATTGATAGCAAGACAAATCAATCCATTAACCGAACCCACAAGGAGAGGAAAAGCATTGGGATTTTTACCTGGATTATCCAATTCAAATGACTCAGGTACAGAATCGTAAAGTAAAGAGCTAACAGAACAATCTTTGACACCGCGGCTGGTATTAGAAGGCTTAGATATTACTCCGTGGTGGATGTAATCCTTGTTACTAGCAGATAATAAGAGATGAGTCTTCACAAAATGAGAGGTAGAGATTAAGGAAAGCCATGATTTTGAAACAGACCGGAATTGTAAAAGGGATTTCACTGGAAGCCTTAACATGATCTCTGTGATGAGTTCTTCAGGAAGATTAGGCATCGAAAAGACTGAAGCTTCACTACAAATGGACTGAATTTCTGTAGATTTGCCCCGTTTTTGGAGAATTTCATCTTCTTTGAATTCCATTTTTAGGTTTGCATAAATATGAAACGGAATTGGGAATTTTGCTGAGGAGATGACTGGGTTCGTGTTATTTTCTCCCCCACCACACCCCACACAAACAAGATAAAATAATTACTTCTTTTCTCGCATTTTACGTGGTACAAACATATTAATTTTATGATTCAATTGAAATTTGTTGTCAATTATCATAATTTCTAGTTTGCTTTACAAAATTGTTAAACATATAAAAAAAAATTAAGATAAACAGATTAAATAAATGGCAAAGTTATTGAAGGAAGTTGACGGAACGTGATAAAGAAACAAAACCGACTGACAGGTTAGAGTTACACTAGGATTAGACTACTTAATTTCAATTATGTAAATAATATATTTGTTGTAGTAACCTCTACGGTAACTCTAACTCATATTTATGATTTTTGCTGCCTTCAACAAAAAGTAATAGAAGTATAGAATCACATGGGTAAAGCAGATATGTTGATCGTCATTTGAGTAGTTATCCACACTTATAGTTAATAATAAGATATTATATTATTATATAATAATATTTATAATTTTTGCTTTATTTCTGTATGACAAGTACTGAAAATTGGTTTTTTCTTTTTTATTTCGTGAATGTAAAATATTTCTATTAAATTTCTCTTGATGAGTTCTTTTTCATTTCTTAGTTCTAAAAAACATAGGATGTAATGTAGATGTTGGTTACAAATTGTGATCCATGTTGCATTCACTTGAGTACAGAGCCACAGTTATAAAAAAGAATTTTAAATTTTTTTAAACCGAATTCAAATTTAGTCGGGTATCAATTCGAATGCCAAGTACAAAACACCAACAAAACAAAATTGAGCATCATGCAAGTCCACTTTCGTTGGAATATGGGCAAAACTCAGATTGATGGATTCCACATAAACAAGTTATCTAATATATGACATATACCAATGGCAAGATTTAGTTACCAGACGGTAAAGTAAAATACTAAGGAGCCGTATAGTAGGATATTTTAAATCATATAACCCTTATATTAAAATTTAGTGCACCCAAAACAGTACTTGATTGCTCAATTCAACTCAAACACACTTAATATGTGAATAACCTAATAAATCATATGTGGCTTTATCTAATATCTAGAATATCTATCCAAATATAATGTTTGGTTGCACAATTCCATTAAAACACACCTAATATGTGGATAGCTAATAAACCATATGTGATTTTATCTAGAACATCTACCCAACATAATGTTTGGTTGCACAATTCAATTCAAACATACCTACCATATGGATAACCTAATAAACCATATGTGATTTTACCCAATATAAGTTTGGTTGCACAATTCAATTCAAGCACATCTAATATATGGATAGCCTGATACACCATATGTAGTTTTTTATCTAAAATCTAGAATATCTTAGGGGTTGTTTGGTGTGAAGAATAAGAATAAATAAACTTGAGATAAAAAAATAATCTTGGAATAAAAATTGATATCTTATATGATTTGCAATGTTTGGGATAACTTATCCCATCATTTATACCATAATGCTGGGATAACTTATCTCATATACATGATATGATAACTATCGCACGATAATTAATCCTGAAATAACTTATTCTCAACCAAACGATAAGGGATTTGCTATTATCGAATTTCTTTTTACAAAATTTAAAAAAGATTTTAAAAATTGCTGCTAGTGCAGCAATTTTATTAAATTTAAATAAAATTTTTGGAAAATTGCTACATGTGAAGCGATTTAATTTAATTAAAAAAAAATATATATATATATATATATGGGAAGTCGCTGCTTGAGCAGCAATTGATTTTTTTTTTAAAAAAAATTACATTTTACAAAACTACTGCCGTAACAGCGATTTTGCTTTTTCCGACGAAGAAAATGCTGCTATTCCAGCAATTTTACCATTTTGATTAATATAAAATTTCATATAACGTTTTAAAATTTTTATTAACATTTTATGCTCTTTAGACTCCGGACGGAGAAATAATGTTTCAGAGATGATCAAATTTAGCACCCAACTAAAAAAGCAACAGCTTTTTTTTTCGTCTTATTCACTAGGTGCTGACACACACAATTTATCAAATTAACATACAAATTTTTATTTTACAGAGTGCATCTGTGTGGCAATTTGCTGCAGATTTGAAACACCATTTTTTTCTTACCTAGAGTAGCAGTGGCTAGAAGTATTGCTTATTCTACGCAGTCCTAGCCAATTATATGAACTAGAAAATTTCATAATAATTAAAAGGTATAATTAAAGTTAAATCAAACACAATGAACCAAACATTTGATTAAAAATAATTTCGAATTACTATTCCCTGCATTAGGAATTAAAGCCCTACCAGAAACTCCACATTATATTAGATGGGAAAAAAAAAGACAAAGTAGAACAAAGGATCCTAATCATATTTTTCAGAACTTTTTGGAGGGAGAGCAACTTCAACTACCCATTACAATAATATACTAAAATTACAATATACTTTACAACAACCAGTTGGTTACTTTTACAAAGCCCCACCATCCACTATGCAAAGGATAAAGGGAGTCCCCACAATCCCACAACAAAATGGTGGAAGAAGAGCAGCTAATCATAGATAACTTTGAAAAAGAAACTCACCTCATCCGAAAATGATGCTAATTGATTGGGTGCTTTCATACGTTTACCTTTCTTCAAGCTACGATGACATCATGCCTTGTTTGACGAAACTCCAGAAAGGTAATTAAAAAAAAGGGCCAATGGTTGGGATAAAAGCAAAAGTTGTGGCATCTGACATTGATTGCATTGCCACCAATTACACAGGAAAATACAAATGGATGGTAGGTAAGGATACAAAGGAGGGGGGACACAAGGCTATTGGGAGTTCTTAGAGGCACGTGCAACGAATTGAAGGTCTATGATGGGGCTGCTGCTTCAGGCTTGACCAGGGACTGGTCATCCGGTTGTTGAGTAGGATAGATGAGTGCAGCAAGTGATATGGGCATGATGCAGAGTGATTTAGACTGAAGGTATTGCATGGCTGCACCGACGTCTTCCTCCATGAGCTTAGCAACCTCTCGTTCTGTGTCAACATTGGACCACTTATCCCATATATGCTGGTTGGATCTACTTTCACCACTGTCCCCCTAAAATAGAGAAAAAAACAAGAAATATTTTAACTCAAGATATAAGACACTACTTTTAAGGTCTTAGATGTTCAATTTAGTAGCAACAGGATTTCATTCATTACCTCCACAGATTGTAATGGAATGTCAGCAACAAGTTGTGCCACTGCACTGGCTCCTCCCAGCCTACTCATGCTCAGTACCTTTAGGCAGTTTAAATGCAAACCATTTACAAGACGTACAAGAATGAAAACAAGGAAATCTCCAAAACCATCTAGGGACTATGGTGGCCAAGAAATTCAATATACACTGAACTCACAAAGGAATGGAAACTCTACCAGAACATAACAGTAACATGCTACTAAGTAAGAGTTATAGATCAGGATTATCAACAATTGGCATCATAACTATTGTGGAAGTAAAGCAATCACTAGGGACCACTAGACCAGATCTAAGTTTCTTGTTGAGGCAACAACCATCCTTCAAGAGGTTATTTATATGGTAGAACAGAGGACCTCTTTTGAGAAGGCAGTGGTTACTAGAAGACTTCTAAATAAAAGTAAGAGAAATTAAAAGGCTTATCTAAAAAATATAATTAGCAGAGTGATCTGAAACCAATATAGGAAGCGTATGTAATCAGGACCAGGGGAGTATAGCTGGTAGAACAGGCCAGGAAAAGAATTAGTTTCAAATTACCAGGTGATATAGAAATATACTTATTGGCAAACTGAAATTAGCATACAAGAAAAACTGTTAACCTGTTCTTAATATAAAACTAATAAGGCATTATGTCCCAAGAAATAAAGCTAAACATGCTCAAGATACGTAACATCATAAGATAGTTAACTCAATCACCGTTGGAGAAACCAACAATCAGAAAACCACATGATTTTGTTTTTTTGAACTTGGTAACTTTATCAGAAAATCACATGATTCAAAGCCGCTAAACCCCTATCAAGGAATGTCCAACATGATGGTTAAGAGGAATTAGCAAGATCTACTAGAATGGATTAATGATAATGGTTCCAACAATTTTCAAGTGAGAATTAGATCATATCGAGAGCAATAATTGTGAAAGTAGCTTTATTGTACAGAACTTACAGGACAAACCTCATTTTCTCTGGGACATGGTAGGAAGAGTGAATGACTAAGCTAGCAATTAAGATCAACGTTAAAAAATGACATCTTACCTTAACTTGAAGCCTTAAGAACTTCACATAGTCCAGAATCTCATCAAGCATTGCGGCCCTATCTGTCTGGCAAGAGAAATATAACATTTCAATACCCCAAGCTACCACATTCCTTTTAATTTCAGATGCTGAATAACAAAGACAAAGTCCAATTCCAAAAATCCCAATTATTAGAATGTAAATTGAACCATCAGACACTCCACTGCAAATAAAAACTTGCCTACAAGATTATTCATCTTATACCTGTCGGTTTTAAGTTTTAGCATTTTATGGACATGATGTGGACGAAAAAATAAAATAACTATTATTTGTGAACATAAGACTTAATTCTTAGAGAGCCTGAGTATGACATTTGCCGATGAGTAAAGGACAACCCAATTCCCGAAAATAAAAACCTGTGGCAGGCAACTCGACATTTGGACACACCTTATTGCAGCTGGGTACCAGTTCCTGCAAAGCCTTTATTCTTTCTGATATCCTCTCTCTTCTCAGCTGCAAGAAAAAAAAACAGATCATTATTTAGTATTACTTGTTTCTAGAGGACTCCCACAACACCTTCATTATATCACGTTTGTCCTTGTGAACGTAGATCTTACCCTCTCAGCAATGCTATGTGGATCTGTGGCTTGTCCCCTCCGAGCTCGAACCCTAGGACGAATTGAAGGTGGGTGTGGCACAGTTACTGTTGTGCTCGTTGTTGGTGGGCCTTGAAAAGGCTGCAAGAATCCAAGAGAAATTATAAGCTAGAAAAATGCAGTAATTTTCTACTTCCCCCGTTGACAAAGAGGCCACGTTCGTCTTAGAGAAACATATTTCAAATCATAGTAACCAAGCATGAATCATCAACTAATTGAACTTCAAAAATAAAGAGATTAAACAGAATAATGGAT